AAATTTATAGTAGTGGATTTAATTTTATTTTTCTTTTTATATTTTCCTCTCTTTCGTTTCGTCAATTGAAAGGAGCCAAGGGAGGCATAAATGCAGTTCACGTGCTTTTCACGAGCGGGCCCCACATTTCTTATCTGTTTTACTGGAAGGGCGAGATGAAGACACGTGGGAAAGTATGAGGTTAATTAGGGCACGTGGAATGTGTGTGATGTTCGGAAACGTGTTCGTTTTCGGAGAGAGTAATGATGGGAGTCGCACGAATTGCGTGATGCGCGAGCTGGCAGTGCGTGATCAATCACAAATGAGTCTTCAAATCCTTTCACGCGCGGGTAGAGCGTGGGAGAACCTCTTTCTTTGAAGAGAGGCACGTTACTCATGGTGATGCAATCAAAGCCTTTATCCAGTATCTGCCAAAACACACGTGACATTTGTTAATGAGTGCCGAGTGCGCTAAGTATGCTACTTAAAAAAACGTTTACTTCTTGTTTTTATTTCTTAATTGATTGATATATATTTTCTTAAAATACTAACAAGTGTCAAAAAATAAAAAAGTGAAATCTATTTTATATAATTAATTAATACATAATTACTTATTCAGTGCCTTTAACCCTCTTTTAAGAAATACTAGTAAACTTACTTAATACATAATTACTTTTTAAATTTTTTAATAATATTAAAAAAATAGGAACTATTTAAAAAGAATAAAATGAATCAAGCATACATTTAGTTATATAAGAGGCTTTTATGGTTTTTAGGAAAATAAAAAAAAATAAAATAAAAAAAATCGCTAATGATAACTTTTGATATTTTTTAAAGATTTATTAATGATAATTTTTTATATTTTATAATTATTTTATTATTTTACTTTTGAATTTCTGTATTTATGTCAAAATTTATCAATAATGATTTTTAAACTCCATTTTTTTTATTTTTAAAATTTTATTTTATATATTATATTTAAATACTATATATATAAAATAAGCCTATATAAGATCAGAGTGTTTTTTAATATTTTTATTATTTGTTTATCTAAAACTCCATTTAAATGCGTTATATGCCTAAATATATTGGTTGAAAAGTTTTAATAAAATAAATAATTAAAGCACAGAATTATTAGCGTCAATTTGATTTCTCAGTTCAACATTAGATTGAATTAATTTTGATGAAAAAATTGTCCATCAACTCAATTCGATAATTTCTATAATATAATTTCACCTATTTACCTAATATATAAAATTAATTTAATCTATTCCAATTTAAATCATTTTAGATTAGTTATTTTTTATTTATTAAATTTGTATATACTTCAAATTATCAAAATATAAAATAATTTTATAAAGTATATAATATAAATTCAAAAAATAATTAAAATGAAATTTAAATTTAAAAAGTATTGCAAATTAATCGTAATAATAATAATAATAATATTATTATTATTATTATTATTATTATTATATGTAATGGAATAGATTAAGTTTTATTTTATGTATAATAATTTTATGTATAATAAACTGTACATACATAAATACTAATATTATAAAAATCTTATATATATATATATATATAGTTTTCATATCTGAATTTCTAATTCTTTGAGCTGGGTTTTTCCGTGTTCATGAACGCACGCCTTTAGTTCTGCTTGCACAATCCGTTTGCATGGAATTACTTCTCCTAATGATCTTCGCTATACATGTCGAATTTGAATTCCATTGTTAAAAAGTTAAAATCATAAATAAACGAAATATTGATGCCAAGCTTTAAATTGAGGTGGATCAAATGGAACCGTCTAATAATATTTATTATTCTATTAACATTAGTTTTTTTAATTGTTTTAAAACATTTATAAATGATAACATTTTCTTAAAAAAACAAATTATTTATTATATTAACAATACAAAAAGTATAATAAATGTTTTTTTATATATAAAAATTATCATATATAGCTTTTTAAATCAGTCCTAAAAGTTGATGACTAAAATTCAAACATTTTGTAGGTTATAAACATGTTTGTTATACTCGTTGACAAATACAAGTTTTACTAAAATAAAGAAATAGTTATTACGTTAAATAAAATATTTTCATTAAATTTTCATTATAAGTTTGTTTTGAGATAAGAATTTAGAAACACTCGTTTAGTACTTTATTAATCAATCATTATGTTTCAAAAACTAACACAAGAATCAACTTTAAAAAAAAAAAAGAAAACTAGAGTCAATGCGGTCTCCATTGAGATAAACTGCTTCAACACTCAATTCTAAGGACAAAAGTATGCTTCTATTAATTAAAAAAAAAAAAAAAAACTGGAATCACTTTTCATTTACGTTAGCGTTTTGTTCCACTCAAAATAGGGCCGCCATGAGCTATTGTTTACTAAAATCAAAATAAGTGCCTTATTTTTTGAGTTTTGTATATTAGTCTTTAAATGTCAAATAAATCTTTAATTTCTCAGAATCTCTTTTTGTTGAACCTTCTAAGTCTTGAATCAATAAATTATTGCTCTGAGAGTTTTGATTGTAACATCCTTTTGTTAACCGAGGTTGATTTATTAAGCTTTGCAAAACTTTTACTTTATTGGTGATCACACTTGTCTTTATACCGTACAATAGTAACAAAGCGTTAGAAAAGGTGACTGCGATGGCTGCATTGCTCTTAGGACCAAGCTATGTTTGCTTGAAAATGAAAATAAAAGTAAATTTGAATAAAAAAAGATTGGTAAATGTTGTTTAATCATTTTGACACTTTAAATAAAATCTCAAATAATCAATTACATCTCAATACGATTGGTCATTTCACATTTGAAAAATAATATAACTAAAATGTGTTCTTAATTTTAATATTTTTGTAATATTTAAATCTTAGTTATGCGAGTTTTTTTCTTATAGACAATGAACAAGTTTGTGGTGACTAAAGTATTGTTGAATAACATCAGCTGAAAGTTTATAAACCGTTAATTAAATTAGAAATATATGATAAAATTAGTTCAAAACATATTAAATGATTAATATTATGTGAATACAATATTAGTTAAATAAATAAAAATAAATAAAATTTACATATGTGTGTAATTTATTAAAAGATAAAGAAAACATGAAGAAAGATTTTTAAAAGTTGTAAGTTTATTTTATTTTATAGTTATCAAATAAATTTACTAATTTATTAATTATTAATAAAAAATTTAGAAATTTTAAATAAATTATAAGTTCATGTCATTAAACGCACTCTAAATAATGCTGACTCTTGTAGCTGTTGCTATTAAAATGCTGCAAACAATACAACTCGTAGAAAAAATATTGATTGAAAAACATTAACTGAATTGGAGGAAGGAAGAAATTCCTATTGGTTGATTCAAGGGCAATGAGATATAAAACATATCAAATTTTATCGAGGAATGTGATGGGATAAACTTGCTTAAAAGATTTGTTTTCTGGGCTCTTCTTTATCTTTTGGCAGAAGGATAATTAGGTGTCTAAACTCTAACTAGCAATGCTGTTTGAGTTAATTAATTAAGGTGACGTGAAAAAATTAAATGGAATTGGAAGGGACTATAATTGATTGCATTATATGAATACAAAATAAGATGATTTGATAGCTCAGAGGATCATACGCATCAAGTTCTGCATGTTCATTGATAAATAAAAAGTTGAACTCTTAACTTTAAAAAGGCCACAAGGCAGAGACTGTAATATTTTAAAAAGATGGAAGTGCTAGCTTTTAGCCTTTTAATTCATATTCACGAATGACGTAAGTTATCACAGAGATTTGAGTGTAATTTTATTATCTGAATCATTCAAAATATAGACATTATACGCGACATACTGTGATGAGAATGGCATTTTTCCCCATCTTTTGATAGAATTACCCCAAGTCGTGCAATTTAAACTTTTGCATTGATGTAAATACTAAATATATACCAATTTAGAAGTTATATATTTGGTGTGGCCTTATTTATACTTTAAAACTAAAAACCTTGTTGAACGAGTGAAAGATCACTACTTACGTTTAAGTGGTGAGGTAAGAGGTAAAAACGTAAAACAAGCTTAGCAATTGTTGGGGCATTTCGTGGTGTGATCCTAGTGGTTGACGCACCCGTGGGTTATCTTAACAAATGAATTTGTTGATATATGTACCTTTCTTTTAGGAGTTATTAAAATTTGTTTTAGGCCTTTGTCGTATGCTAAAGCAAGTTCTGAAGTTTTTCCTATACATATTGATGCACTTATCATTTCTATTGTATTCAACTGGTTTTTTAGTATTGATTAGTTTGACAAGGTTAGAATTTGGCTAAGAAACCAACGTATTAAATTGTCTCAAAACTATTTATATTTGAAATTGTGCCTAAGTTCAAATATCCTTATATTCACGTGAACAATTTTTACTCATAAAAGGCCAACAGACGAGTTTTTCCCCCTCTTTCCGACATTTTCTTCTCACTGTGCCGGGAAGAAAATATTTTAAATAGCAAAGCCCAACACCATAGGTTTTCTATTTCCCTGTTTTTTCTTTTACTACTTTCTTGCTGCTAATTTTCTCTCTCATTCCAAATGCAGCGCAAGTAATAACATGTGTGGAGCGTTTGATTTTTGCATAATTGGTCGTTAAAAAGTTATATTTTAAAATGATAATTTAAAAGTAAATATATACTACAATAGTAAAATAATATTTCATTGTTTTCTTAACTTTATTAATTGTAGAAATAATTTTAATAATTAAACAATTTTGCCAATTAACAACTTATTATGCAGCGCAATTCTAACCTGTCAAGGCGTGATTCTTAAAGAAACTAAACAAACACTTCTCTGTTAAAAATGTAAATATAACAATCCACTCATGAAAATTCACTAAAACTATTAGAGAATACATGCAAAATGAAAGCATTTTTAAATTTTTGAAAAAAATTAAATTGGAAATAGTTTACATGTTTGATTATTAAAAATTTCACTAAAATTTTAAAAGAAACAAATCTTGCTATCGCACCTTTTTTTTTTTTTTTTGCTCTAAATGCCTTGACGTCCATTTCTAACCTTACTAGTAAGAAAATAAAATTAGAGGAAGGGAAGAAAAATGGAATATCAATCAGATATGATATATATGGGGCTTCAATTTCACAGTTCACTCCGTAAAATTGCAAGATGGTTGGCATGGTTGCTTCAGTATAAAATACTTATTTTAATTTATTCGTTATATTATTTTTTACCAAATGAATTAAAATAAATAATATTTTGTAAAATTAAAACAAGTATTTAATATAATCAAATAATCAATGGCTCAAATAAATTTGATTTATATATTAACCGAATTAGAAATCCTTTAACCATGTTATTTAATAAAACTGGTAACGTCGAAATTTGAAAAAAAATAGTTTTATTCCCATGCCGTCACATACTTTTATTTTAGTTTATAACTTATATCTTGTGAACTTTTTTCTTAATTATTTTGATCGATACATGAATTTTTAATCCAACATTAAGCGTGATTAACTGTTTTCATTTACCATTATAGTAAATTCTAGGTTCTTGAAGGTACTAATTATGTTAGTCTTTCAAATTGTGATATTTTTATGTATTTAAGCTGTAACAATTAATTTTTACATTAAAAGTTGGGACTGCAGAAAAAACTATCATAAAAAAGTCATCATGAACAATAGTTTTTCAAAAAAGTGACAATATTACGAACTTTAAAATTATGTTACTTAACCTTTTAAGTTGAATTTCACTTGTGTATTTATTAAACCTGAACATTAATTTTCTTCAATGCTAAACTATAATAATGATGCTACAGTAACGTACAAAATTCAGATGTTCCATATATATATATATATGATTTGCGGTTGAGTTATTTCTGGCCACCACCGATATCTTGAATTTGTGAAATATTTCCTTGTCATTTTATGTAAATAAAATTGACACGTGGAAGTGATTTATTTTAAAAATGTGGAAAAATATAAATAAAATAAAACAGAGTGTTTTGCGTTGTGCACCCTAGAATAACAGATAAATGAAAGAAAAAGAAAGGGGTCGGGGGAAGGACAAGGCATGAATGCATGATAATTGTTGTCTACTAACTCTAGTAAAGTTTGAAACCTAGGTTGACCTAACCATGGTTTAAGGTTTGCAGTTAGAAGTTGGAGAGCGTAACCTGCAGGGTTCATTTCTCTCTACCTCTTCCTTCTTGTTTTCTTCAATATTCACACTCACCCCTTCACTTTGCTACGAAGGAAGAATACCCTTTCCCCCTTCGTTTTCATTTGTGAAAGACCCTTCTCTTCTCGTTTCTCCTTTTGTTTCCTTCCACTCTCAGTTTTCTCCGAATGTCCTTTTTACAGCACACCGTTCCTTTCCTCGCATGTTTTGTCCCCCTTTTGCCAGCTTAGCCTCAGATTGTTTCCGCGTGAATCCCAGTTCTTGTTTATCTCTCTCTCTCTCTCTCTCTCTTTTCCATTATAATTCTCGGGGATTTCTCTGAAGCTGAAATTTGCAAGATCTGAGATTGTGGTTCATGAGATGGAAGAGGAGCGCGTAGAAGGCGGTACTGGATTGTGGGGTTGAAAATTTGAGCTTTTAGGTTAGTGGGTGGTTGGGTTTTGGAGATGAAGGTGGAGGTGGGGTTAGGGCGCGTGGTGTGGGACGATGAAGAGAAGGCGATGGTTGCGGGCGTACTGGGCGCACGCGCTTTCGAATTTTTGATGACAAACTCTGTGTCGAATGAGAGTCTCTTAATGGCCGTTGGGAGTGACGAGGGGCTTCAGAATAAGCTGTCGGATCTCGTGGAACGCCCCAACGGCTCCAATTTCAGTTGGAACTACGCGATTTTCTGGCAGCTCTCGCAATCAAAATCTGGGGAGTGGGTTCTGGGTTGGGGAGATGGGTGTTGCAGGGAACCCAACGAGGAAGAAGAGAGTGTGCTTAGCGGAATACTGAGCCTTTCCATGGAGGATGAGATGCAGCAGAGGAGGAGGAAGAGGGTACTGCAAAAGCTGCACACCACCTTTGGGGGTTCAGACGAGGACAATTACGCTTTTGGGCTTGACCATGTCACTGACACCGAGATGTTCTTTCTCGCTTCCATGTACTTCTCTTTTCCTCGTGGCCATGGTGGCCCAGGTAAGTGCTTTGCATCAGGGAAGCATTTCTGGCTCAAATCTGTATCTGATTATTGCGTACGATCTTACTTGGCTAAATCCGCCAGAATTCAGACTGTTGTTTTGGTCCCTACTGAGTTGGGAGTGGTGGAGTTGGGTTCTGTGAGAATGTTAGCCGAGAGCTTTGAATTGTTGCAAGCCATTAAAACTGTGTTCTCCACCCAACCATCGTACCCTGGGGTGAAGCCTGTGCCTGCAGTGAGTGATAAGAGAGACGAGAGTGCCATTTTTACTGGTTTGGCTATTGGGGACGGTGGCAAGGTTGATGGAGTGCTTCCAAAGGTTTCTGTGAACTCGGGTAGTAGAACACATTTCAGGGAGAAACTTGCTATTAGAAAAATGGAGGATAGGCCAGCATGGGGAGGCCATCCTAATGGGAACAACATTAACTTTCCCAATCTTAGGAATGGTCTTCATGGTCCAAGTTGGGTGCCCAATCAAGCTGCGAGGCAGCCTAGTCCCATTGAGATTTTTGCTCCTAGGTCTTCCACAAGCAATGTCTCTGAGCTAGGTAATGGTGTGAGACAGGATTTCAGGCTTAACAACAACTATCAACCTCAAAGGCAGGTGCAAATGCAAATTGACTTCTCGGGAGCCACTTCCAGGTCTTTTGCGAGGCCGGTTCTTGCTGAATCAGAACTTTCTGATGTTGAGGCCTCGTGCAAGGAGGAGCAACCGAGTGTTGTTGCCGACGAAAGGAGGCCCAGGAAGCGAGGCAGGAAGCCTGCTAATGGAAGGGAAGAGCCCCTCAATCACGTGGAAGCAGAGAGGCAAAGGCGTGAGAAACTGAACCAACGTTTCTATGCATTAAGATCTGTTGTGCCCAATATATCCAAGATGGACAAGGCATCGTTGCTGGGCGATGCCATTGCTTACATCAATGAGCTTCAGGCAAAGCTCAAGATGATGGAGGCTGAAAGAGAAAGATTTGGAAGCACTTCAAGGGATGGATCAGTCTTGGAGGGTAGCTCAAGATCGGAAAATCATCTGGTTAAGGCTCCTGATGTGGACATTGAAGCTGTCCAAGACGAGGTTGTTGTAAGGGTGAGCTGCCCTCTTGATACTCATCCTGTTTCCAAAGTAATCCAAACACTCAAAGACGCACAAATCAGTGTTGTAGAGTCAAAACTTGCTGCTGCAGATGATACTATTTTCCACACATTTGTAATTAAGTCCCAAGGATCTGAACAGCTTACAAAGGACAAGTTGATTGCTGTGTTTTCCGAAGAGTCCAACTCATTATTACAGCCATTGTCGTCGGTTGGGTAACACAGTAATTACAGTTAGCATAGTCCATAGGCATGTGATACATAGAGAAAAACCAATTTCTAAAGCTTCCTCAAAAATTTTGTTATACCGCGGAGGATCTAAAGAGAAAAGCGGTGGGAACCAGAGTAGTAGAATAATAGCTCCCATTAACCGCGTAGGCAATTTATGTTTGTTTATAGTATACATAGTTTATCAGAAATATTGTTCCTGCGATGTCAATTATTTTATTTCGTTTATCCAATCTGCCATGGTCTAAGAGCTATGTCCTTTTATTCCATGTTTCTCGAGTTCTTATTTTCTCTCTCTTTATTGCATAAGAGGAGAGTATTAGTTAATTTCTGCTGCCTTTAAAATTTTCTGCTATTTAGTTGTGTTCTTCCTTGGGGAGACGCATAATTGTAAATGTGTTTTTGTTCTGTATATTAATTTATGTATTTTTGGTAGTGAGGCTTTGTTCCTCGCTTACAAGTATACTTGCTCTTACTGAAGTTTTGGCTTTGGTTTTATTGTTCAAGCAGTTTTATAGATAGAGTTGCCTTTCTCATCTGTGCAGTCTGCATGAGGATTAACTTATGACTGTAGTAATCTCCAATATCTTATAGGAGAAATAAGAATATAGGAAAATAATGACGAGTTTCTATTACTTGTTTGGCTAGTGTGTAAAAGTATGAAAATGGGTACAAAATAAACGGGGCCGATACATAACACCTGCATAGATGATCCAAGGTTTTATCAAATCGTCAAACTGCAAACTGTTAGTAGATTGCATGCTTGGGTACAAGTACCGCTATATTTTCTGCTGTCCTTTTATCTTATTAGCAACCAAGTGAGGGTGAATCTTCGATGCACATGAAAAGGAAGAAAAGTATTAGTACTGCTCAAACTCTTGACCGTTCCTTTGCCATTACCACCTTTCTTTGCGAATTTGAGGTATCTCTATTTCATGCAGAAAAGAACATTAGGCTAAAAGGCTGTTTAGTAAAAAACAAAGGCTGTGGCTAAACTTATCAAATTATTATATTAATATTCCGAGGAAGGAAATAAAGTATATGAAAACACAAGTACCATTGTGCAAAAATAAGAATACTATTACCAAGTGGTTGAGTGGTCCTGCAGTGTACGCGTCGTGTCCCATTTTTGAAATTTGAAACTGTGTAAAACGTTCACGTGCTAAGGTCCTTTCAACTAATGAGTTCTGCAATGACAACAATCATGTGGTGCATGTGTTTCCTTTTAAAAGTAATTCAAAGTCAGAACTTTGAAGAAAGGAAAAATAAAATAAAAAAGGATCATTGGACAAAATAGTGTGACTAATCATACATCGGTTACCGCAGCGATGAGCTCAAAGGGTAAACCCCAACAAACCCGTGTCGCGTCAAATTTGCATGGATTACCTTCTTTTTATATTTTTATTTATGCAAATCAATACTCTGTCATATTTTTTACTAATTGTTTAATAAAAGATAAATGACCAAAAAGTTGAAAATTTAAAATTAAATAAAATTACATATAAGTTAAAGTATATTAATTAAAAGTATAATTAAGCAAACGAAATAGTAAACGTGATGATTAGTACAATATAATAAAAAAAGACATAAAAAAAATTAAATGAAGAATTTGATTTTCATTCACCAAGTTTGGAATTTACACCTCAAATTTGTTTCATTCAGGATAAGTATTTGTTAATTGTGAAGTGTGATGCACATTTAAGTGTCAATACTTAATCCATGTCCTAAGAAATGTGCCAACGTGTTTGATGTTTTTCATGTCATGGCAACTGCCAACTCCAACATGATTTCTGTATCCAAACATCAATTCAACATATTTAATTTGCATAAATATTGTTATTATTTGACATCTACACTATATACATTTGGTTTGTCTTAATTTGGAAAAAAAAATCTCAATTGGAAAATATATTTTGCTTTAAACCTCTGTGTTATTAAGCAAAATCAAGTTTTGCTTTTGACTCCTTCAACATGAAAGAAATATTTTATCATTTTTACATTGAATAAAATCCTGTTTATGAGAATGATATACATTAATTTACTCAAATGTACTAACCAAACATTAATGTTGTTTATAAAATCAAACGTGCAAACAACAGCAAAAATAATATGTACAATAATTATTTAGAGGGAGAATATGGATCAAAGTTTAACATTTATATGCAGTTATGGAGTCAACCATTAGTTATTCAATTTAAAAGTTGGCATGTTTTGTAACGAGAAATTCTGAAATTTAAAAACTTTGGACATCATCAATCTCGGCATACGAATTATAATTGGTCCTACGGACAAGGACACGAACTCAAACGTGCATATTATTATGAACACGAAGAGTAACCTCAAATAACTGAAGAAGTGGCCAAAATGAGGGTCCAAAAAGCACTGCACTGAGAATGGTTATTTGGGGTCTTTAACTGCCGATGCCCATAACTCGCACCTACATACCCTTTATTCCACTTTGGTTTGTCTGGGTGAAAATCCTAATTTCAAATGTTCAAAGCATCCTCTGTCTTTTCTCTTTGGGGGTAGTGAACGATCCACTCTAAGAATGGGATGTGGGGTTCGTTTGTCCAATAAAACACAAATACAAAGCATAACATGTGCGGTGGTGGTCATTGGTCAAGTTCTACTTATCAATATATGTCCCTTTTTGCTGCGTGTAATGGTGCATGCATATCCACATTAAGGCCAAAAAGCAAAATGTGGGATCCATCTAAATATAAATATCAAGTAAGAACTGCTCAAAATCCCATATGAGGAAGGAAATGGACATGATTGACCCGATAAGGTACCCAAAAGAACCGCATAATTTGCCTGTCACATTCATTTTAGTTGTACAGTTGGTACAATTTAATGGTGAATGCGTGCTTACCACTGTTCTTCGGACTCAGATAATTAGAGCTCAAATAATCCACTACACGATACGATACGATACCAATTATATCATGAGTTAAACGAGGAATAAAATCGCATGTGTTTCTCATTTTTCGCTACTTTTTTTAGGGCTAACGCTGTGTGGTACATGAGGGGAGCATCTAATCCTCCAATTCGTTTCCATCTCTTTCTTTCATCCATGAAAAAAGTCAATTGTGTAGGAAAAATATCACTGTCATAATCCCCGTGCACCACCATGACCCAATATATTTTCTAAGCATATACTAACTACTTTGTTTAATCATCAACTTTGATCAAAACCAACTAGTTAGTTTTTTCAGTTTAGTAAAAAAAGTAAATTTGTGAAAAAAAAACACACACACAGATAAGCATCCAAACTTGAATATCAAGGAACTAATTTTGTATTGAATTTTAAATTAAAGTTTGATTGATCTGTTACTAATTACCTCTTCTTAGTCATTATATTCTAAATATAAATTATTTAATTTTAATATTAGTAATTTTACTTGTACCAATTAAAAATCTATAAATATGAATTTAAATTTATTCCATCAATATTTATCACAAAAAAAAAACATTTAATATAGAAAATTTAATTTTACTGTGTTCTATTATTGTCCCTGATTTATTTTTATATTCTTAAGTTTTTTATTCAATCGTAGTTTCTATTTTTTTTTATTTTAAAAACTAATTGATAAATATTTTTAAAACTCGTTTAAAATAAAATATAGGCGGGTGAGTTTTACTTGGCGTATCCAAAGTTATATTCAATGATATCGCAACTAAAGATTAAAAAAGTGGGTTGTGTTTATCCTATTTAAGAAGGTTGTTGTTCAAGTTTATCTTGCATTTCATGGGCCCCGCGAGAAGTGTGACAAGAATTAAAAGATAACACATATCTTTCTTTTCTGTATTATTATTATTATTATAAAATTTTCTTTTTTACAAAATTAAAAAAAATCTTTTTTATGGGATGAATCTTAAAAAAACCTATTTGAATTAAGATTCAAGTAAAATTAATTAATACAAATAATTTTGAATTATTAATGAATTAAAACATGTGCTGAAATTATTCTTAATCATAATTTTTAATTTTAATATGAATCTAAAGATGCATAATAATAAGTTAATAAAATTTTATTAAAATTATAACTGTCAATAACAATAAATGGTAAATTTTGAGAAGAAGTCATTTAAATTAATCTACTTCAAATTATTTTTAAAATAGTAATTTCACTTAAAAAAATATGACAATCGTTGAGTTTACAGTGAGATCTTGATCTTCCTTTTGGGGCTCAGTCACGTCAATTATATTTTGTTCTATTTCTGAATGTTAAATTCCATGCACTACTTGATTTCACAAGCATAATTATTATTGATAAAATTTTATGGTTAAGTTACATGGCATATGTATCAAATTGCATAAACATGACATTGAAAACTGCTCTGATGGATAATTCCAACAAGTTGAAGATACCCTTCAGTGTCTTCCAACATGACAAATAGGCCCTGTCTCCACTTCCACCATTTCAGCATCAACATGCCCAACCCAACCCATATCATCATAGTTGACTGTCTCTATAAAAGATTAAGTGGAAGCACTACACTTGGAGTGAAAAATGAAACCATCAGTCGTTTTTCAGTGCTTAATCTGATGTAGATTTATTTCAATGAGTTATCCTCAAATTCGGCCATTGATTGGTATTGGTTGTTGAGATGTGTTCATTTTATCTTCTAAAGTAAACTAATGCAACTTGCACTTTAGAAAAGTTTGATCCCAACAAAACAAAACACACATAACTCCCTCCCTCTCTCTCTTTCTCAATATGTGTGTATACACACTCAAGTTCATTTAAATTGGTTTACAAGTTTTTTATAATTAAATTAGATAATTTTTTACCTCAAAATTAAAATAAACAGAATTATGAACACCCTTACTCGAAAGGTAAAATATGGGATCCAGTTTCAGGGAATTCAAGGCATTCCATTTTTTTACAAGAAATTAGGGTCACATAAAGTTACTCGAAGCATAAAGAAATTTAGTGAATCATGGCCCAACAAAACTATACGCTGCTCACTTTCAGGGTTTGTTTTTGGTGGTCACACTTTTAAGTATTGACTTTTATTAGGAAGGCCAGAGAGCCCAAATTTTCAATTACTTAAATGTCTTTCCTTAGCCCAAAAGATATGACTGGATTTGGAAACAATACGACCCAATAAAAATATGCAGGTTGAGGCCCTTTTTTTGGGTTAATTTTTACAAAATCGAATTGATTTAATAAAACATAGTTATATATGTTTTGGTTTTATTAATTGTTTTCATCTAACAACATTACATTAACTCTACAAAAAAAAAAAACTTTCAAAATCATTGACTGCATATTATTAGTTGTTTTAATTTTTTCATTCTTAAAAAATAAAAGCAAAACTAGCTTCATTACATAGACCAAATCAATTTTAAAAATTTACTTCTGAAACTAGAATTGAAATTCCATTAAAAAGAAAAACTAAATTTGAAATTGTTAGATACTAAAAAATAAGACGGGTAAAATAAAAAAAGTGAGCAATGATTAGATAATGTTTTAGATTTGACCGATAAAAACATTGGATTCGGAGTAACCGTAAAGTAGTGTGCAAAAGTTGTGCAAAAGTGAGCGTGAAACAACACAGGTAGGGTACGGAACTACCACTGTTGAGTGCTGAGTGCATTGCCTTGGTGTGATACAATCAGAAGAGAAGAGAAAAGAGAGAAAGTGCGAGTCATCTGAACTGCGATCTCTTTATGTTATGATGTCTCAACCCAACCATAAGGTGAAGTCTCTTCTCTCACCACTTTCCCTTTTCTTCTCTATTTATTTCTTACAAACCACTTTTTGTTTTAGTGCATTTATTAACTCTTAATGCGGATGAAGCTGTATCCTTTCTTAGTTGTTAATTTTATTTATAGCTTCCCAGTTCAGTATTTATTGTTTAGGATTCAATCTTTGTTGAGATACTTGTATTTGCTGCGGAGTAGGAGGTTGTTGGAAACCCAATTTGTGCGTATAAGAATGGTGATGGGAATTTGATTAAATAGGATGATACTACCTATTGATTTTGGGGACATAGACCATTCAATTTATTTCATGATTTAGGAATCTGATTTCAATTTGATTAAAGAATATATATACCGGATTCCAATTAAGAATATACTTAGAGTTTTTATAACACACTTTGGTTGAATGACTTGTTTACAGTGTATAACAACCAAAACTCAAATGTTGCATGACCTACATTTTCTTGCTTGATTGAGCAACTTTAGTCCCGTGATGCTCATATAACTGAATATGTTCCTTTGAGAACCCAGAAGTGGTTGACTTACACGTTTTACGCTATTTCATGTTGCTAGAGAACTTAAATATTGTGATATATGGCTTTGTTTTTGCGTTTGGTTTTTTTATACATTTTTTTTCGTCCTACTGAATCTTGAAACTCTTGTTGTCATCTGTCTTCTTTCAGCTGAATCTAAATGATGATAACAGAGAGATATAAAATGATCAAGCAGCATGAAGATAACATTAAGTTCCTTAATTCTCAATCAAATCACTTGGCTGAATCAATACTTGACTTGCAAGGTATGTTTTTTTTTCCCTGGGGAAAAGGAGGAGATATGAGGGGAGTGTTTAGAATTTAAGATTATCCAGACTAACAAATAAAACATCAAATCATTACTCACTAGTTTAATAAAACAATTTCACAACTTTAATGAAGCATTTCTTATATAAGTTACTCAACATTTTTTGGCTGATGAATTTTTTAGTGAGTCTTGGAAGGTACCATTCAACTAATGTTATTACATCCGAGAATGGAAATGGCACCTTCCATTCTGAAGAGGAAACAGTGGAACAGATATTGAAGAAAGAGAAATCTGCTGCTAGCATATTCTGCTGGCTGAAAGCTAATGCCCAGACATTAATTTCAAAGGATGTTGTGGGAGTTGTGGCAACCCTTGCCAGAGTTGAGAGTTATGATCTTAGCAGGTTGACATCAATTTCTTTTTGTCTTCAAATCTTTAATGCCCCTCTGGTCATTTGGTTTCAATCTTGCAGCAGGCTACATCTCTTGTGGGTATCATTTAATTTTTTCTGATTTTGTAACATGAGTCTATTAGTTCTTTTAATACAATCCTTAAAATATATCTTGCAGACCATTTGTGTAGCATAATCTGTGAAATTTCCAAGCACATTAGTATTAGCGTGAATCATTGAACTTGACTGGCATACTCCATTTTTTTCTTGACTGTTTCTTAGTAGCATAGTCATGATGAAAGAAGCTCCTATTTTCAATTATTTAATTGATAAAAAACTGCAATTTTGTCTTAAAACAGGATCCTTTCTGAGTATTTGGGCTTGGAGGCAATGCTTGCAATTGTCTGCAGTACTTATGAAGGTGTTAATGCTCTGGAGAAGTATGATCCAGAAGGCATGATAAACTGCGATGGTGGTTTGCATGGAATTGGATCGTCAATTGGAAGGGGAATAAATGGCCGATTCGTGGTCATATGTCTTGAAGATTTAAGGTAATTTTGACACGAATGGGAATTTGGATCCTCTGATGGGACTTTCTCACAATAAAGGGGTTCATGTAGAGAAAGATATACTTAAGGACTAAATTTGTGGGCCTTGTGCTGGTCTTTCTGTTTATCACTCTCTTTATAAGATATGAAAAACTCACATGATAGGATCCAACTCTACAAACACATAATTTAGAAGGAAGATGAATCTCTTTACTAATAATTTTTTAAGCGCTGTTGTACTTGTTTTTATTTCAGACCATTTGTTGGAGGTTTTGTAGCCAATGATCCACAAAAGAAGCTCGTTCTTCCAAAGCCAAGATTACCTAATGGGGATTCCCCACCTGGGTTTCTTGATTATGCAGTGAACATGATCCATTTGGATTCAAAATATTTATGTTTTCTTACTGCCGGTGGGCATGGTCTAAGAGAGACACTGTTTTATGGCCTTTTTGCTCGCCTACAAATATATAAAACCAGGAATGAAATGCTGCTTGCTCTCCCCTGCATTAGTGATGGGGCCTTGTCATTAGATGGTGGGATGATTAGGAAATGTGGTATGTTTGCTCTTGGTAGTAGGTCAGTATCAAATTAACGTTGACCTTTTTAATGCATGTTTGATTTTAATTATTCTTTTTTGCTGTTCTACCCTTTCTATGATGCTAATACAAGTTTTGTTAATTAACTTTGAAGGATAAATTTTCTGTAGTTCAATTTTCCTCATTTCAATAATCTCATAAAAAATTGCTTAGTTGATACTTGATGCAATTGATTTTTGTCTCCTGGTAGGTGGTAAGAATGCCCACCTGCCTGCATTACACATGGGTATTTATATGTTCCTCATGCTGAAAAGTGAAAATTTTCTCCATGCATTCCGTGATATGCATGTCATTGGATAGGTAATTGAGATCATTTTAATTAGAGAGTTGCTATGGTGCCAGATGGATAAGTGCAGAGGGGAAAGGATAAGGTTAATTTTCATTTTTAAACTTTGTCATAAAAAGTAGAAAAATAAGGTATGATTGGGAGGCTAGATGCTAATTTTTTGCTTTGTAATACCTCTCAAATAAGAAAAATGTTTGTTTGCTTAAAATAAAAAATTTCCTTCCCCATCCTCAATACCTTAATGGTTTGAGCTTTACTATGTCTTACTTATTTTTCTAGTACTTGATAAACTAAGCATGAAATAAAAGTATATGTATTTATTATTTGAAATACATAATATATATTTAATACTTATTTATAAATTAAGAGATTTTGTAGGAATAAAAGGTACGGGGATTTAGAATCATCTTTATGGTTTGTAAAACATTCGCTGATTTGGCTCCCTAATAAATGTTTGAAAGTTCATTACACATAACCAACATTATATAAATGTTTGACGATTCACCTTCCGTACCCATGTAAAAGAAAAGGAAGAGCGATTGAATAATCCCCAAACGAGTAGCAGTTAGAATTGACTATTGGACTTTATTAATATTTCTTTTTCTCCTCATTTGATGATTATGACCATTATCTTTTTTATTCTATGGGTTTCTTTTCTTTCCCTCACTCTCATCCAAATATATTACTGTAATCAGAGTATTAACTTGTGATTTATATTTTTTTGGCCTTATGAATGAAATTTCTTGGGAACACTATGGCTGTAGGAAAGATGTAGAAGTGAAGTTTCCACTAATTTCTGGAGAATCTGATTTACCTCCAAACTATATTGAAGCTGAAGATATGGTGAGGAAGCTGAAATGGGAAAGCTCTAAGCTTGATGCAGATATCCATAGAGAGCAAAAATTATTGGATTATAGGAAGGGAAAGTTCAGGAGGCAAGCCTGAAAAGTTATGTACAGACTACTGGTTTGCAAAAAATGGTAGCAACTAACCACATCCAATAGTGTGCATTAGGCATTAGCTTTTTATTTTGCAGGCATATCTCATTAGGGATATGTCCAAAAGAAAGCAGAAAGGTGTGCATAAAATAGAAATGACATGCTTGCCTACTGTCTGCATCTGTTGATATATCTATTATCTAATATCTGCTTCTGAATTTCAATCAAGAGAAAACTTTACTTTTGAAAATGAACATTTGAATGTTGTAACATCTGACATCTAAGCACTTTCTCGGTTCTTATTTATGATATTCACTCCTATCCTCCAATTCCAACACGTTCTCTGATTATACAGTACGGATGCAACATGATGGGCCAGTAATTCATTTAAAAAATGATATTATACTGGGGAAGTCAGTAAGACTTGCAGTTGCAGAGCAAAATGCCACATATAATGGTCCCTGAAATTTAAAAAGAAAAAACGTTACACTTGGTTTTTATTTTAGCCTCCACACAAAATCTTATATTTTGGTTTTTATAAAAAGTCTTAAAATTAGTCTCTATTGATTATTGACATTATTATTATATTGGAATATTTTTATGTAGGGATTAAACTAAAGGTGATGTTGAATGTAGGGATTAAAACATAGAATTTTCATATAGACTAAATAAAGTGTATCTATTGGTAATCCTAAAACCTGAAAACAGAATCATCAAGGATTAAATTTAAGTTTATAAATTCGATAATTGGTAAGAATTAATTCATAAACAATTTTTCATTCAGAAATTAAAATGTTAACTTTTCATGAAATAATTAAAAGAAAAACAGTATCAAATATAAAAATCAAGTTTATAGTTAAATAAATAAATAAACGATTGCTAGGACGAGTGTTCGTGGGTCGTGATGGATTGAGTTTAACCTATGTTTGAATTTGATCCAATAGTTTGATCATGTCAATTTTTCAGATGTCATCTAATCAAATCATAACCCAACTAATGTAAGAAGACTCGTTATTATTTTAAAAATAATTAATTTAAAATATTGTCAAATATTAGACTGGTCTGGTCTAGGCTGAACAAAGTTGAAATATGGATCACACTCGATTTAAAAATCTCATCGTGACAGAATTTTTACCAATCAAATTTGGCCGGAATTAATTGGCTTAAAAAAGACTGAATTATCAAGTCAAAGTTAAGAACACTCCTAATTACAGCAGTGCACATAAAAATATAAAATTCCACACCCAAAATCTTGAAATATGGTCTCATTTGCACTGTAAAGTCATTATTATCATTTAAATCATAGAAGCATGAGAAAAATGAGAAAACTTACTGCTTGAAAAACATTTAATCAATTCTGAACACTCCAAACGGGCATTAAGTCAATCTGCCAATAGCTTGAAACTGCAAATTGAATTCATCAAGTGTATAGACAGTTAATCGTTTTTATCAAAAAAAATGGCTATGACCAACTACTATCATTCAAAGCCACTTATAGGCCGTATAAAGATCATACCTTGTACCTCATAAAAAAAGAAAAGATAAAAAATAAAAAATCATGCCCCATCTTACTGGAACATATATATATATAAAACTGTAACGGGTTATGCAATATGCATGCCCTGGTGCAGGCCTCGCCAAGGAGAGACAGGCTAAGGGAAAAACCTTCCCATCACCTAATACTTTCTTTCTTAAATTCTGTCCCTCAAAAATAAGAAGACCTTCAAAATACAAAGCGTGTCAGTACAAGTTACTCGATCACACCCGGTGTATCAACTTGTGCAGGTGTACGCTTATCCTCTTCTGCTTTCCTTTCATTAGCTTGCTTGTCATATCTTCTCCAGCAGTTTTTAGAAAGATGTCCACTCTTGCCACATATAGAACAAGCTACACTCTTGGCATTAATTTCTGACCTATTCCTATACATGCCGGTTGGCTTATTGTCAAACCACCTCTGTCCCCCTTTACTGGCATGGTGAAATCCTACACTACTAGAATGTTTGCGGGATTCTTCCTCTGTCTGTATCCGTTCCATTAACTTTGACAAAGATAGACAGTCCTCGTGTATTACCCTGAAGCAGAAGTCCTTCCAGGATGGTGGAAGCTTTGAAATGATGACACTAACATGAAAGTTATCGTCAATGTGCATTCCGGCGGCAACAATAGAGTCTGCAATGCTATTTAATTCTTGGATTTGCTCAACAACTGCTCTCTCATCAACCATCTGAAATTCAATATACTTTTTCACCTGAGACCTCTTAGTTCCACATTCCTCATACAGATAGATCAGTTTTAACTCTTCCCATAACTCCTTAGCACTCATTTTTCTGCTCGCATACTGATTGAAAAGATGATCAGATAAATGGGTCAAGATATTGCGACGACACATTAAATCATCATTCACCCATCTCTTTTCTGCAGTCTTGGCTGTAGCAATTTCTTCAGCACTTGCATCTCCTCCTAATGTTGCATTTGGGCATAGTTCAGTAAGCACATATCCAATCTTCAACTGTTTCAAGAGTAATTGCATCTGCTGAGCCCAGAATTGGTAATTATTCCCATCAAAACGAATGATATCAATAGTGACAGGCTCAAGAGGAGCAACAGCAACAACTGCTGAATCTGATGCATCTTCATTTTCCTTACCATGAAGCTCCGACCTACATTGTGTTTATTACATGCTCCAGGTTAGATTAGTCTATGAATATGTGCTTTCATTGCTGTTCAAATGCACTTGTGCAAAATCAAATACCCAGAATCGTGTTTTCTTTTCAGCCAAGAAGTAAGAAATAAACATTCAAAATGCAGAAATTTCTCCAACTAAACTACAACGAAGAATATCATTTAGTTGGCAGTTAGTAAACCATCAACACACCAAACCAAAAGAATAGGAACAAAATTCTGCATCCTGCATATCTGCACTCAGCAGTTTCCTCACCACCACATATTGACACTTGGGTGATTAATATCATTCTGAACTCATAAATTTAATGTTATCTCAGAGATCATAACTCAACATTGAATACTTACCTTAGCCTTCTTTCCATCTTTTTGATAGCTTCCTCTACGGCAGGAACACTCTTCTTGAAGATTGACCATTGTGTAGTAGATAAACTAATCCCTATATTCAGCAGTACAGAAAAGGGACATGTTTAGTTTCAGAATTCAAGTTGTGAACAAGACAAATATATATGAAAAGAGACAAATTCCAACTCAGATGTAACGATCCTAAGCAAGAAACAAAATTAGAGATTTTCTCATTAGAAAATTATAATTGGATTACCTCATAATAAACTACTAAGCATGGTCAACATCCAAACACATAACTAAGAATGTGACTTGAATAAGAACATTTCCTCATAGCGGCCTCGGGCATTGTTCTTGTGAGCAAATTCAAACAACAATTATAGTACAACACATAACTACACCAAAGCAAGAAAGAATGGAATTGTAAGAGCAAAAGCAGCAGCAATATGCAAATAATAAATTAAGTAATCACCTTTATAACCAGGATACTGTTTTCCATATTGGTTATAGAACTCCCTAATTGACACCAACGTCATCCCTTTGAAATTATGAACAATCACATTCCTCCTGTTTGACAGCTGCATCATGTAACCAATGTCTACTTAGGAATGCAATATTTGAAACATAAACAATATATTAAAGGTTGCAGCTCTTTCTTTAGAATCCAAGACTGTATTTACAAATTGGAGTTATTCTCTTCATCAATTCTTAAAATCCAAATTCAAATAGCAGCAAAGCTGTAGGAAAAAAAGTAGAGATTCACCTGACAAATAACGTTTTCGAAATCTTCTTTCTTAGGTTTGACGAGCTCCGGCTCTATGAAATCTTGGAGCGGTTTGTCCTCTGGTTCTGTGGAGTGTTGAAGCGGTTTCTTGTTGGCGTCTTCGGCGGCAAGAGAGAGAAGAAAAGAGTCAACGATTGTTCTGACGAATTGTTTGCTGACGGTATCGGAGAGGTCGATGCCGAGACGCTCGGAGGCAGCGACTCGGACGGTGAACTCAGTGGCTTCTCCCATGTCGGATTTCTTGAGAATATCCAAAACCATCTCCTCGATTTTCCGTCGAGTTTCGGCTTCCATTGCCAAACCAAAAATAACAGAAAAAACGAAAACCTATTACACTCGAGTCTCTCTCTCTCTCTCTGTGACAACGAGTTTCTGAAATTAAGTGTTATATAGGAGAGGATAAAAATAAGGTTCCACCGAGATTTGAACTCGGGTTACTGGATTCAGAGTCCAATGTCCTCACCACTAGACCATGGAACCTTCATTCCCTTCTTATCTCTTTGTCACTTCAGAATTTTATTTGTCTATTGCTACTTTCCTTAACAAAAATGCAAAGTTATTAACGTCTCTTTATTTTTCATAATTAATTCAATTTTTTTATATTTAATTTAGATACACTTCGATTAAAAATAAAATAAAAGTAATTGTATGCTTCTACGTGGGAAGGAATGCGCATATAATTTTTTTTAGACTGAGACAAATAAATATTGGTCATAGAATTATACACATGTTATTTAAAAATATTTGACCTTTGTTTTATAATTTTAGTCACTCTTAATAATTTTTATAAATCCTTTTCAACTTATTCATTAAAAAATATTTTTAATACTTTTTTTATTGAAATAAACATAAAAATGATTCGTCTCATCAATTTTAATTTATTTTTTAAACTTAATACATCACATCAAATTAATAAAAATAATGTCAATTCTTCAATAAATAATTTGTTAACTTAATTTAAAAAAATTAGATATCTAAAAATATTTTTAATTAAAAATATAAATTTCTTACAATTTATATTTTTAAATAATAAATACTTTTTTAATAAAAAATTATCACTTTTAGTGACTTGTCTTTGAATCTAAAAGATGGAGTTAATGTTTTGAAATTTATTTTTATATATTTTTGTCAAATTAAAAAGTCACATTTTTTTGTTATACTTGTATATAAAACGATAAAATTCTTATCATTAACAATAAAGACACCTACATTATATATATATATATATATATATATATTTAGGTGATTTTTTTATTGTTTAATTATATTAAATTTTCATATATATATATATATAAATTTTATCATATATATTTTATCTAAATTTAAAATTTTGTAAAATAGATGATTAAAACACTGACTGTCTAATTATTTATGCTAAAACTGTTTTGTTTTTCAGTAAGATTTTAGTTAAAAATAATTTATTAGACTACTAACAACTATAGAGGACTCATTCCATGATTATAATTTGTACTTTATTGGAATGCGTATTTAGTATTAAAAATGTATGTTTTTTTATGTAAATAAAACATTTTAAATATAAAATTAAGCATGTGTCCCAGAAATATTTTTTTATATAAACGTCCTAAACTTGATACAGTAAAGTCGAATAAAAATGACTTTTCCAACAGAAATCCATTGTAGAAGTTGACTCTCATTTTTGCCATTCCTACTCCCAAAAAAGTTGATTAAAGTTGATTTTGTGCAAAGAAGTCGATTGCAGTTGACTTTCGTACTCCATAAAAGTTGATTAAAGTCAACTTCCATTTGTTAATTTTTGAATCCAAAGAAGTCGATTATAATCGACTTGTATGATAAAGGAAATTCGATTGAAATTGACTTTAGTGTGATTCTCGAGACGAATATAATCGATTATTTTATATATTTATCCAGCCTCTTAACACCATAGAGAACAGAGACTAAAGAGAGTAAAATCAAAGAAAAATGGATACAGTGGAGAAAGATGGATAACAATATATATCAGCTTAATTTTATTGATCATAATGCAAGCAAGCTTAACACACAGGTAATTCATTTTTAAATATATTTATTTAAATTATAATTAATTATTTTGGTATTTAGTTTAATATTTTATTAATTGTGTAATTATATATTTGAAATAATGTGTAAATGTTAATTATTATATTGTAAATTAAATTTAATTGTTTGTTATAATTATAATTATTATATTAAAGAATGTAAATTAAAATTCTATTATACATTTTTAATTATTATGATAAATTAGTTTTGTATTGTAATAATTTATATATTATAATAATTTTAAATATATTGTTTTGTTATTATACAGAAATCTCGAATTTTAAAAAATAGGCGTTATAATATGATGATCGTTCCAGATTCAAGAATAAAACCATTTCTTAAAGATACTGGTTTTTGACATGTTACATATATAGTCCCAGTATTTAATTATGATAAGACACTCATAAGTGTACTTGTAGAGCATTAGAGACCTAAGTCGCACACATTTCATATTCCATGTGGAGAATATACGATCATTTTGAAAGATGTTGTATTTCAGTTAGGCTTACGTGTGGATGGGGTCCCTATGAGTGGTTGCATTGGAGCGTGGGATAAATTTTATGATTGAAATATATAGGCATTGTATAAAAATTTACTTGAAGTAGTTCTTGATGAGAGAAACATAAAAAGATTTTCTATAAATCTACAGTGATTCATCGATACATTTGGAGCATTACCTCACAATGCTAATGGATAAACTATTATCCGTTACACTCGAGCGTACATAGTGGTTTTATTTGATGAGATATTGTTTTCAAATAAATCAGGATTTAGGAGTTCATATGAAGTGATTACTTCTTTTAACTGATTTTACTAAGATTTCAAACTATAGTTGAGGTTCTGTTATTCTAGCATCCCTTTATCGTGAGCTTTGTTGTGCAGTGAAATACAATGTTACCAAAATTGTAGGTTGTTTGCCTCTTCTACAGTCGTAGGCATGGTATAGAATACCTCAGTTAGCCCTTAGGCACCATTATCCTCTCACTTTTCCACTAGCTTTTAGGTACATAAATTTATCAATATATTATTTTTGTTGTTATTTATATACGTTAAATTTGCAAGTAAAAACTAATTATGCGAATTTCAGATGGAAAAGTTATAGGTCATCGACGAGATCAGATAAGTTATTGCGATCTATGAGGATCATTGATTCAATTGGCATTGTGGAGGTAAGTTCAAATAGAGTGTATGCTGTTAGCTTTTGTTTTGAATGATTTTATTTAATAGTCTAATATTTGTTATTGATTATTTCAATTTAGGTGGACACCCTATAACAACAATGAGGTCAGGAACATTACACCTCCTTTCGTGTATGATAAGACTGATGTTTGGGCATCTGTGACTGCTCTTATACAGTTTATTGTGATTGAGTGGCACCCTGTTGATCGCGTAGCTCGACAATTTGGTGGAGTACGACATATACCAATCAGCCCGATAATACACTAAGAATGAGAGGGGTGATCTAGATATATGGTGGCCTGATTATCATGTGACATGACATGTTTCATGGAAGACACGTAGGGAGCAACGAGTTCAATATCCTCTAGCTGATGATGATTGTCTCTCTGTCAAACACTTTCAGTGGTACTTGTCAGTCACTAATAGATTTTTATGGTTGGATGGAGCTTCACAGTATGCAGAGCTTACGGACTTACCTGATGGTATACCACTACATGCCCCTCATCACCTGACATCACACATCCTGATGATGTTCCAGATAGACGCTCTTTCATGCATCGTTTGAGTGTTGATACACGTGGTAGGAGATGTCAGTACCGTGATAAGGCTCATATACTAGCCAACCTCCTAGCACATTGTACAACCTGATGCAAATCCAATTGTACAACCTACCTCACAACGTATACCACCCGACACTCACATACCCCAACCAATTCATGCCGAGCCCTAGCCAAACATGTACGACCTCTAGCTAGCAGTTTATGGTAGACTTAGCACCAGTTCATGTTAGATTCTTTTCTTACTCTCAGTCCTATGCAATATTTTGTCACAAGTCTAGCCTAAGGTGATATTGCACGACATATATCTTTCAGTCCACCTTTTATGTTAGATTATGAGATTATGGCTTGACTAAATTTGACTGGTACAGCCAAATCTATGCCACCACTAGATAATCTATATCGACCATCACCAACACGTATCCGAACTTCCGAGGAGGAGCATCGAAGGAATGTCCAACAGCAGGAAGCGGATGACCAGTACATGCATGACCAAAGTTAGCAGGAAGAGGAACATGCACACCACAGACCTATACAACATATTGTATATCATTGTTGCGCAACAGAGAGTCACCTTGCTGAGTCCAAACGCAACAAGCGTGACCCATAATCACATATACTGCATGATGATCTAGATATTTTATGGACTACGTATTTTGAAAATTTAGTTTTATGTACTTTAGAATTTTAATTTCATGTACTCTGGAATTTGAATTTTATGCAATTTAGAATATAAATTTTATGTTCTTTTAAATATTATTTTTATATTGATATTATTTAATAGTTTATAAAAATTATTATACAAAAATATTAATAAATTTAATTAATTTTTTTTTTAATTTTACTAAGAGATTAAAAGAATTATGCATGGATCATAATTCAAACTCCAAAAATGCACCAAAGTCAGGGTATGTTTTTAACTAAAGTCGATATAATTGACTTTCTTGTAACACAGAAGTCAATTATAATCGACTTCCTTATTACGTAGCTAAAAATAGTTATAATCAACTTCTGTACTCGTGTCTAAAATCGATTTTAATCGATTTTCATATAATTCAAATTAAGATATTTGTATAAAACTTTTTATTTTGGTGCATATATGTAATATTCAATCATTTTTATTTTATTTAGATAAAAAACCTGCAAAATGCATGGAATACTTGTAAATTTAAAATAAAAGTACAAATTATGAATTAGAGACAGGTCACAATTAAGCCAAATTAACTAAATTTGAAGGAAAGTGTTAAAAAATAAATTTCACATTAGTAAATTATTAAGAAAGAAAACATTATATAAATATGAGAATCATATATCAACAGTGTTAATATCCTTCTGGACAAATGAACACTCAAACGTAAATTTCCATTACCTTAAGGATCTGGATCCTCTGTAGTGTTAGCGGGAATTGCAGGGAGTGTAGTGCATTTTCGCTTAAGCGACAAAATTCGCTTAAGCAAAATTGGTAGCAAATTCACTTAAGCTTGGAAAAAGGCTTAAGCTAATAGAGAAAGGGCTTGACAGCGCGCCCAAGCGAAAACAATTAAACCTAAGCAAAAATGGACCAGAGAGGTATGTATTTCAAGCACTCTTTAAGCC